GTTTCTCAGGGCCTTCTCCACATACACACAGCAAAGGATTCCTCACTGGTGCATGACGAGTTCTCACTTGCTAAAGGTTAGGCATTCAGACTGCCCTCTTGGCTTACTCAGACCTGAGACTCGGGGTCTCAACTGTGAATACCAATATTCTCCAGGTAAGACCCAGTAGGAGAACCCATTGGCCCCTTTTGAGAAGGACAGAAAATAAGATGGGAGAAGGCCTCAGACAGACCATTCCTTTCATCAGAGAACCCCTTTCAAAAGTTGTGTGTGCTGACATTTGTTGCACATAACAACAGCCAGCTGAAAAATCTTGGACAAGATAGAATGAAAGAAAACATAATAAATTAAAACAATAAGCATAATTTAACAATACAGTGTTTATAAGAAAATCACTTTAGATCCAGTGCATAAGTTAATTAATTCATGTATAACATTAAGCAAAATAGACTTCACAAAACAAGTTACAAAAAAACAAAGGAAGATATATACCAATAAAAACATATTTAAAATCCTAAATCTTTACATATGGAGTAACAGGACATAAAAACATATGAAGAAAATGGAAGCACTGAAGGAAAGCAAACAGCTTTACAATCATAGTTGAAGACATCAATATCTCATACTCAGTAATGCATACAATAGCCAGCCAGAGGATGAGTTGGTAAATTAAAACAACATGTAGCTATAGTTGATCCTTGAACAAGGGATGAGGGATGTTATCCCCTAAATGACTGAAAATTCTCATGGGGCTGGAGGTGTAGCTCAGCAACTTAATACCTACCTAGAATGTACAAGGCACTAGGTTCAATGTCCTGACATTCCAAGAGAAGGCAGGGGGAGGGGAGGAGGGGAAGGGGGAAGAGAAGGAAGAGGAGGAGGAGAGAAGAATTTTCATATAACATCAATTCCACAAAAATTTAACCATTGGTAGCTTTCAAATGGCTGGAAATCTGACCAGTAACAGTCAATTACCACATAGTTTATATTAAGTATATTAAATATAGTGAAAAAAATACACAAGTACCTGGAGGGGAGGGTTAGTTTCTTCTGAACTACTAGAATGGAACCCAGGCTACACATAACTTTTCATGAAGCTTAATTCTCTTTTAATTTTTTTTTTATTTTGAGACAGGGTCTCACAAGATATGCTATGTTATGTTACTTGCAAATTATGAAAGACACATACTGCTTAAGGGTAAATAATTAGCAACCCATCATTTTTTAGGAATTAAACTGGTAACATTCTAGCTCACTGCAAGGACAACAGGACATAGCGGCAAAGTTTTTCTGGCAGAATATAATATGCATTGCAGTTAATTTTATGCAATTATAATTTAACAATGCATCTTTAAATTTGGTTACATTTCTCTTGACTGCAAATGATGCCATGTATGGCTGACTACTGTCCCCATTATGTAATATATGTTTATAAATACACATATACATACATAACTGTGTAGAAATACCTGTCCCATATATGAACATACAAATACATACCTATATAGACTAGATACTACTACAACAACATAAAGTATGAATAAATACCAACCCCCTTATTAATAGAGGTATTATTTGGTTTGACATTGGTTAGATAAAATTATATTACCTTCATCTACATTTTTCTTTAATTTCTATGTAAAAGTATATTATAAGCAGAAATCACTAAAAGACATTAGACATGCCTTTTAGAGATAGAATGAATAAATCTGATCAGAATGTAAACACATGAGAAGGTGTGGGAAACATACCAGATGGAAGAAATCAGACTCATATAAATCTTCCTAAAGAATAGAATTTAACCCCTCAAACTGCAAGGTTGGAGAGCCTGAGATTATGGGAATCAGTTTTGGGTCTCCAAAAGCAAATTCCACACTTCTCACCTAAAATTCTTGAGAAAGAGCTATTTGTACAAACCTGCCTAAATACCAGCAGCCAAGTCCACAGGCCTCCTGAGTACATGTTCTATGAGGAAAAATAAGTCCATCAATCCTTGCCCTGTCGTCATCCTGAACATCCAGGTAACCCTGGCAGCATCAGCCATGCATTTGAGCACTGTCTGTGAGACAGCCTTCTTCGTCTCTCTTTCTTCCCTCCCTTATTCCATCAATGTTGTTCGACATTCAGGTAGCTATGGGCCTACTCTACATTGACTCTCCTGTTATTTTTGTTGCATGGGCTACAACCTTCATGAAATCAATTTTCTCAAACTCTCCCCAGTCATACGACCATACAACGCTCCTGCCTTCCCCCAGAGGTTTGCAGTTCTTCCCACCCCTTCCCTTCCTTCACCCATGATTATGTTAACATACATGCTCATCGTCTAAATTCTCCAGCATCGGAAGTATAGCTTTTTCCATCAAGGCTACCATCCAAGGCAGAAATCATCTTTCCATCATCTAAGCTCTCACATTTCTCCACTCTAATCCTTGATATATCAGCCTTATTTTTTTTATTATGTTTTTGCATAATCTCACCGAAGACAAAGGCTAAGCCTGCCCTACTTCAATATTCACCCCAGCCATCCAATGCACAGAGCCTGACATATATGAGTGTTTCACTACTGTCCTAACTTGGATCAGTGTTTCTCCAATCAGATTAATTAAACAACAATCATCAAGCTTAAGGGACTCTTGAGGGTAGGCTTAGCTTATAGAAGCCGTGGTCTCAAAGTACAGTCCCCCACAAGGCCTCTTGTCATATCCACAACTTTCTTCTTGTTTCAAGTATAATTTGCCCAGAAGTGATGTAAGAGGCTCTCACCACCGCTTCCACAGTCACTGACGTACTTCTTCAGCGCCATCAAGAACCTATGTCAGTTATTAAGTGACATGAGATATAATAATGAAGAAAGACTGGGCTAACCCATCACTCTTTATTCTAAATAAGTACAATCTGGCTGCCTAGCTGCATGAAAAGGGAGGCAAGCTGGATGATGTGGGCCAAAGCTCAAACCTGGCATAGGTCACACAAAACTAGGTAACATCATCAGCTATTATGGGGCAAGGGGAGGTCAAGCAAACTAGTTTAAGACGCAAGCTCACAACAGCCATGGTCTCATACACTGTTGCGTGTAACAAAAGTAAATGGTGGACTTTTAACAACCCCACGCCACTTCCTCTTTTATCTCCTTCTATATACTGAGAGCTACAGAGTCTTTCATCCTGAAACAGTCTCCTGCCAACCTGGAAACACTCTTTCAGTATTCTTTTCCTCAGTTTCTACTGCCTCTAAAATCAGTATGTAAACCAGAAAGGCGTGGTCCTCCCCTCTGCCCATCAGTGATACACAGCTCCTTCTGTGGGAACCTCTGTGAAAGAAAATAGTTAAGAGGACACTGGCCTGGAGAGAGCAGCTTCAGCTCCCAGAAGCAGATGTCCACCATCGGCATCTTAAAGGTCAGTTTCCCAACAACCCGCTTCTCCAAGTCCCCTGCAAGTGGCTACAGGACTGTGCCTATTTTTAGTGCCAAACATTTCACTTACCAGACTGAGCTGAATCTACAATCACCAAATGTTCTCAATCACATGCACGCTGCCTGATTCTTTCGAAAACAGACTTGGTGAAAAAGTGCCTCTGCAACCAGACGCACTGGGGCAAACACAGCAGCAGCATGTTTTCGAAGGGACCAAGTCTCAAAGCAGAAGCCCCGAGGATGTTTTTGTTAGAAACTGGCAACTGCACACACAGTTCATTTGGTCTTGCCCAAAGATCCAACAAGGATAAAATGCCTATGACATTCGCCAGATGTGACTATCTAATATTGTAGAAAAAGACATCCACCCATCGTTATTAAATCGTGGAACCTTAACTTCCAAGAGCCCCGGATGCTATGAAGGCTCTCCTGCTCTAACTTCCAGAGATGCAAAGGTTCAAGGGCAAGAAGGAAGAGGAGAGAGGACCCCTCCCATCTTTTTCAGCCAGACTTTTCCTGAGTCTGTCCCTTTTACCTACTGTTTTTTACTAGATACACCCTAGTACTTTCATGAGAAAGTTAGAGGTAATTTGTTTTAATGTGGAAAACCTTAGTACTTGATAATCTCACCTGATCGTAAAAGCAGCCCAGAAGGAAATCACTGACCTCCAGTAACCCAGAGAAGCAATTAACTTACCCATTTCCTCCACTCCACCAGTTCCCTCTGCTGACAAACCGGGAGAATTCACAAGGCAGTGGTGTATTAGTAAGCCTAGAAAAACTTCATGTCTTTCTATTGTAAAACTCGTGACATAAGATTATATCAAACATTCCTGCACTTTGGTAGACTTACAAACAGCAGTGTGAGCTGTCACTACTCACGTGAGTGATCTAGGGGTGTGACAGAGCACATGGAAGAACTCTGTGGGGAAAATAAATTTTCACCTACGGCTTCCGGCAACAGAGTCTTCCTACCCCAGTGTAAAACACTGGCCGCCATCATGACTTCTCCCCCTGAACTCACTTCAGAGAGAAAAGCAAGAAGGTGACGCAGACCAACACCTCCTGCCCAAGGCCATCAAAGGCTGGGTATGCTCCAGTCATGGCAGGGATGGAGGTCACGGTCATCTTAGGGATAGCTGGAAAAAAAAACCCTACTGATAGAATTGTAGCCAGAGTTGGTCAGATAATGTGGCAAGAGGGGTGTTGTCCACAGAAGCAGAAGTTTGTTCTGGAAATCTACAGAGCATAGGGACAGTTCTGGGACTGGGTAGCTCAGTGTTTCTAACCTAGAAATAGGCTGGCCTAGCAAGAAGGACACTATCATTTGTCAAGAATTATTAGTCATCTTTGTCCTCCAAAAGGGATTATGCTCCTGCAGTAACAACTCAGAAGGTCTTAAGATTCACAATGCTGTGTACAGAAGCTGTAACAGTTGCAGGACAGAGGGGGCCTGCCCCACCCACCAAGCTGCCTGTGAGCTGGGGTTCCTTTCCACCTCTACCGTGCAATGCTGAAGACACACTGAATGCCAACACCTGCACACTCCCATGTGCACACACATAGGAAAGGAAGTGAGTCTTACCAGACCATCACAGTTGCTAATGGCGACAGAGGTTCCTGGAATGTCCATGATGTCACCAACATAAGCACAGCTAGTCTGCAAAGGCTCTGATCTCCAGATTCTTTCCGAAGCACTTCCGTGCTGACGGCTGTTTCCAGGGTCAGTTATATTCCCAGGCACTGGAGATGTCTCATGCCATTCCACAACGGCCCCAGGAGCTAGGAAGTGAGTGTTGGGCTTTAGTCGAAGATGAAAATCTCTTCCAAACGCAGTGACATTGAAGAACAATTGCTCTGAGTTAGATGACACATCCCTGGGTGACCTCTTCTTGTGATTTGCAGAAAGAATATGGGAAAGATAGTGTCCTTTTAGATTTGTGCTAACTGGTGTCACCAGCTCATACTCTCTGTATCTCTTTATTGGTAAATCTGTGGGTAAAAAAAAAAAAAGAGAGAATTATAAGACATCAGACAATAGGAGAACACAACACAAAAACCACCTCAAAAAGCTTAACCACACTTTGCAATAAAATTATCCCTGAGACAGGTCAAATTTAATATATTTTAAGAACGAAATTCATTTCTCAAATGCACTTAGGTAATTCAATTAATTATTTTATTTTAAAAGGTGTATTCAATCATGCACATTTATACCTTGTTGCTATATTTAAGACCATGAATTATGTTTCTATAAACTATATCTGGCTCATTTAAAATCGGACATACTCCTAAATAACTCTGGATTCCCATAAGAATTTTTAACAAAGATGTTATCATATAAAATTTCTTGATTTTTTTTGTCCTTGTAGAATCCTAGAATTTATACTGCATTCAGTATCTTCCAAATGCTGCTTCTACCCCAAATTTAGGATTTATACTCTAACTTATAACACTATAAGTTTGTTAGTTTTTTTTAGCCTAACATCCCTGACAATCACATACCACTGATAAGGAAAACCGATTCAGGAAGAGCCTGAGTCCAAAACCAGTCAATTGTGAAGTTTGGATGTAAATCCAAATTATACTACAAAAACTCTACACATTTTTTCCTCTGTTGTACTTAATCCAGATTTAAAAAAAAAATAAACCTAAGAAGAAACCACAATCTATAAATTGACATGAAGAAACAGGAGAGTATGGCATCCTCATTTTATACTATATTCCTTCCAAGGAACAGGTATCCATTGGCATATGTATTTGGAATCCACCTTATAACACAAGTAGTCATTTACATACTAAACTAAATCTCCCAGTCAGGACTGTTTCCCACAGGTTAGTTGACTGTATGGACTTGGGAAAGATAAAAGAACTTTAAATATTGGAAAACAGTAGATATTGACCAAGAGCATGGAAAAAGCATGCACAGAAAGGAAGATACATGAGCATGAATTTCAGGATTCCCACTTTCAGAATTCTCACCCCAAAACAATCCTGTAATGTTTTTGTGTGACCTGGAAAAATTAATTGACTCACAAATAATGACTGTCTATATGGATAACAAAGATTCAATTTCTATAAAGTATTTAGAGCATTAAGATCCACAATGAACCAATGATGTATGTACTTAGTGTCTTTGTAGAATCACTGTGTCCTCAAGGGTAAGGCCCCAGAAGACAGATGAGGTATGTTGTAACTTGGAAAGTTTTGGTATATATGTCAGTGTTAAGATACCTACACTGACCAATGCATTATATTAAAATACCACTTGGTTATGAGTATAAAGCAAGTAACATGTCTGCGAGTACTATTAGACAGAGGAAGAGGGAAAACTGCATATCAGAGGGAGGGTTGGGTCTGACCCCCAGAGCTCAGCCACACATCCCTAAAGCACCTATGTGAGTGAGGGCATGATGCTGGTCTCCCTTACAACCAAACGCATAGTGAATGTCCTGGTTTAGAACGGGGCTGGAAATTTAGGGGATGAACATAAGATTTACAGGGCAGAGTGATAAGGAGGCAATGTCCACAGGCAGGTCCAAATCAAGCCCTTAAATGTGGCCCAAGAAGGCCCAACCAAGTAAGTTCCTGAAGGACAATGGACCACCTTTCATTTACTTGATACTCTCAATATCAACATATAATAACTTAATGTAAGATTTTTCTATATATCAGACTCTACAGCCAGGTAGGTTTGTTCGGTCTGTATCTGTTTTTCGTAACCAATGTTTGCTTTGTCTATGCTGCTAGTCATACTGACTTCTAGTTCTTCTCAGGACCCATGAGCATCTCCCACACCAGTAATCTGTTAGAACTCCTTCTCCATCAGTTTGTTGCTTCAAGGGAAGGAGAGAGCAGTGCTTAAATTCAATGTATGGATTTCCCATCTCCTCTGACTGGAATTCACACAAGAAAGTCTAGACAACATAGCAATGCCTGGAATAAAAGACCCAAGAATACAAATGCAGGAGGCCCTTCCACACCCAAGAGGATACTGAGAGCATCACACAAGACAGCAAGCCATACATCCTAGACCTCTGAGACAGTTCCAGTTCAGACAACGTGTTCTGAATTTTTACTTAAAAGAAAGATGCCACATAAAATCTCTTTCCCTGATTTGAAAAAATAAATCATTTTTCAAATGTGCACACAAGAATCACTTCTTAATGAAACCCTGAATTCCCATTTTCCTGTTGGGAATTAGGGAACTAGGAAAGAGATAAACTCAGCAACCCCTAATACCCTGGAAATAATAAGGAACTCCCAATTACCTGCTTTTTGTAGGCAAAATACTATGCTCTATGATTGTGCTTCAGAATGCATTTCTAACACAGCAATCATCGTAGGTCAGTATTATTACCACTATTCTATAAATGAGAAAGTGGAACTAAGCCTAACACAGTCTAACACAGCAAGTGAAAGTCTAAGGAAAGTCTCAGTTCTGAAAGCTTGGGCTCAGAAAGAATACCACATTTGCGTACACTTCAGCTCAGGTGTAACTCAATTTCTTACTCAAGATCTGACCTATGAAGGAAAGCTAGCATATAGCACAGCCACAGTAACTTCCATGAACAGCTTTACATTCTAGTTCAGGTAGGAGAGATGAGGAAAGTGGATAGAAACTCAAAACTACCCAAAGCATTTTAATCTCATATTACCATTACATAAGAAAACCAAACGATGTCCAATATTCACTCACTGAATTTCAAAAAGCATGCATTGGACAGGCCCAACTTCTACAGAGCAGTTCTGTGTGTGGGTAGGAATGAACAGCAACATGCAAGACACCACCAAGCTGAATCAACTATCTCCTTGATCAAGGTCTTTCTATTCCCATGAGTTGTTTCCCCAGTTATTAACCAGATATTAACAGTCATTACATCATCATGTATTTGTCAAGAAGTTCCTATGATGTCAACCAGAGACTCAGTGAATACTGTCACTAAAAAATATAAAAAATTACTTACTTATTAAGAAAATGTCATGTTCAATTTTTAAAGATAGAAATTATACAATTGCCTGATCAATGGACTAGAATTGAAGACCCAGAAATGAGTCCACAGACATATGGAGCCCCAGTTTTTGATAAAGAAGCCAGAAATGCACACTGGAATACACAACATTGCCAACAAAGGATGTTGGTTAAACTGGATGCCTGAATGTAAAAGAATGCAAATAAACCCATGCTTATCACCATGTACAAAACTCAACTCCAGATGAATCAAAGCCTCAACAGAAGGCTAGATACACTAAATATGATAGAACGGAAAACAGGGAATAGTCTTGAACTCATTTGGCACAGGAAGAAAACTTTCTGAACAGAACATCAATAGCATAAGCACTAAGATCAACAATTAATAAGATCTCATGAAACTGAAAATCTTCTGTATGACAAAGTACACCATCATTCAGATTAAAGTGACCCACTATCGAATGGGAAAATATACCAAATGCAAGTTCAATAGAAGGCTAATCTCCAGAATATATTTTTTAAAGAATCAAAAAAAAAAGAAAAAAAGAAAAGAAAAACCTGGACATCAAGAAAACAAATAACCCAATTAAAAATGGGGTATATATCTAAATGAAGAATTCTCAAAAGAAGAAACCCAAATGGCTCAGAAACACTTAAAGAAAGGTTCAACATCTTTAGTCATCAGGGAAGTGCAAATCAAAGCTACTTTGAAACATCATCTTAAACCACCAGAATGGCCAAGATCAATAAAACAACTGACAGCTCATACTGAAGAGGATGTGGGAGAAATGGTAACACTCATGTATTGCATGAAGGAATGCAGACTTCTACAGCCACTATGGAAATCAGTGTGGTGGTTGCCTGCAAAGCTGAGGATCAGTAAGGTATACCACTCTCAGGACACTTCATCCTACTACAGAGACACTGCTCAATCATGATCACTGCTGCTCTATTCATAGTAGCCAGAAACTGGAAACAACCTAGCTATCTGTTGATGGATGAATGGGTAAAAAGTGTGGTACATTTATATAGTGGAATATTATTCAGCCGTTTTAAAAAAAAATGACACCATGAAATTCATAGATAAATGAATAGAACTAGAAAAAAAATCATCTTGAATGAGGTAACGCAGACCCGGGAAGACAAATATGGTACGTATTTGCTTATATGATGTTAACTGTGAAGTCACTGACTAGCAGTCTATAATCCATATAACCACAGAGGTGAGGTAGAGACTAGGGAAGAGGGATAGATCTCTTTAGAAAGGGTAAATAAGCCTAGATGGTTAGAGATGGACAAGGGGAGAGTGAGGGCTAGAATGGGAAGCTCAACAGGGAAGAGGGGGAAGGGGAGGGCCAAGGAAGGAATACTGGGAGGAAGGCTAAAATCAAGGGCCGTCTTAATTTTATGAGGGGTCATATGGAAATCTAATACAGTAGAAGCTTCCTATACTGTGTACATATATGAAGGTGATCTAAGTAAAATCGACAACCAACCGAGGAGATGAGACAGAGCCCCCAACTGAGCGTCTCTTGTCACCAAGTGAAGCTTACAGTGCAGGGAATGGATTACATTCTGTTCAGCTGTTATACAAAGAAACCCCATGAGAACCCCCAAACAACCAAGGCTATTGGTGGCTCTCCATAAACTGATGGTAAAGGCCCTATTGCTGAAGAAAACACCTACACAGTTCACTGAACACAGAGCAGGAGATCTGGTGCCTACATAGAGCCTTCACCCCTACATGGTACTGGAAAGTATTTGGGATGCTCCCAGAGAAGAAAAGTAAAAACTAATCCAGCTACAAATCTTTTCATCTTGAAGAATGACCTGCCTGCAAGATACACTGGTTCAATAGTGGCACACAGTTTATAGGAGTAACCAACCAATATTTGATGACTTAAGGCCCACTCCATAAAATGTCACTCATACCCAACACTGCTTGGGTGGCAAAGAACCTGAGACTAGAAAGCCTGGGGATCTAGGGGAAAACCAAATGTTACATTCTGCTAAAGGAACA